TAAAGTCCTCAAGGACAATACTATAAAGTATAACTGAAAAATCATAATCTACATAAAGAGAATTATACAGAAGGGGTAGGAAAATGTTAATGTTATAAGAAAGCTATTAACTCCACATTAATCTACACTGTAAATGCAATCACAACAAAAGTCCCAAGACATTTTTTATGGAACTTAGTAAACTATCTATAAGTTTGTACTGAAGAAAAATGTGAAAGAAGAGGCAGAAGAGTTGTAAACAATAAGCATTCAAGTGTTCACCTAACCCATTTATTTCCCTCTGCTTTGTTTTGGCCAAACTTAAATCAGGCTTCTCTTTTCATACAGGCTGTTGAACTCTGCTTACACCCAAGGTTGAGCAAGCACACACACAAAACATGTAGTGTGCCCCCTTCATCAGTTTCTTTGGGAACTTGTTAACCGCAGAGAGCCCCATTTCCTGTCCCAATTCTGATAATTTCCCCTTATTTTTGCAGTTTCCCTTCCAAAGGTTCTGCTAATCTTTGCCTGCTTTTACTTTTACCCTGTAAAAGACAAACCTTTTTCTGTATGATTTGGAGACCCTCACAGATTTCTGAGGATCAGAGCATTCTCACTGTTGGAATAATCTTTCTAATTAAAGTCTCCCCTTATCCAAGTCCACATTTGAATTTAATTGGTATCGACACAGAAATGTGCCTCTCGAAAAACCAAAAAAACCCTATGGAATGTTTAAGAGTATAGTATTTTTTCAGAAATAGAGAAATGAGCCAATGAAACAAGATAAAGAACACATCATACATATCATATAATGTTAAAGAGAAATGGCAAAACTTATACAGTAAATGATTGAAAACTGAAAGAAATAAAAGTTTATAGTGACACTACTCTCAGTTCTATTTATTTATTTATTTGTTTGTTTGTTTGTTTGTTTATCCTCACCCAAGAACATGCTCATTGATTTTAGAGAGAGGGCAAGGAAGGGAGAGACAGACAAAGAAAAACATCAATCAGTTACCTCTTGTATGTGCCCCGACTGGGGAGAGAACATGCAGCCTAGGCATGTGTCCTGACCAGGAATCAAACTTGTGGCCTTTTGGTTGGTTTACAGGACAATGCTCCAACCAACTGAACCACACCATCCAGGGCTGAATTTTATTTTTATTACAATTGTAATGGAAATGATCTTCACTCAGTTTACTATTAATGTGAGAACAGACAAGTGGCATCATCAAGTGAGACTAGTGTTCAAAGATACTCTTGTCCATGCTGGTCTAAAACTGTGCAGTGAATAGGACCTAGTGCACAGAGTTCAACCCTTTGACTCTGGCATCCTCAGTATTTGTCCTCTCTGGCAACATAGTTATGGATTCTTATCCCTGGGGGTGGCCCTCAGCTAGGCCAGTCCATTAGTAATCAGGTTTCTGTTTGGAAGGGGCAGCTAGATTATATTTTCTCTTCTTATCCAAAGACCAGGAAGGGGAAAGCCTAACAAAACATAAAATATTTCAGTAGTAACTAAACGTCACAGGAAAAAAACAACAAAACCAGTTACATCCTTATCCTCATCATCAAAGGTTAAGTGGGAAGTCTAGAGCTCTACCCTAACCCACCTGTATTGAAGCACTCCCTCCCACCCCAATGGTAGCAGAGAAGCAGCTGAGGCTTTCATCACACCCAACAGTAGAGAGCTCCCCGCAGTTATGTCAGTAGAGGTCATGTGGGAGGCATTTGTACGGTCTCTGTACAATTCCAATAAAGGGTGGTGTAAGCAGAGGGCCAGTGTGAGGGAGCACTTCCAACTCTACCCAGGAGCAACAAGGTATCCCTCCTTACTACAGTGCCAGTGGACTCAAGTGGGAAACTTGGATTTTTACTCTCACTTCCAGCAACAAGATGGCAGGCCTTTCCCCCTTTGCCATGATGTTAGAGAAGTCTTTCAACACACAAGATTTTTATTGAAATCCAGGGATTTGAAACATAATAGCTTAAGTATCCAGGATACAATTTAAAAAATCATTGTGCTATGAGGAGTTAGGAAAATCTCAACTTAGACACAAATTAGAATTATTTGATGAGTATTTTAAAACAGCCATAATAAAAAAAAGTCTCAATGAGCAATTGCAAATAATTTTTTGTAACAAATGAAAACAGAAAGTCTCAGCAAAGAAACAGAAAACCTTGACAAAGAAACAGGTGATATAATGAAGACCAAAATGGATATTTTAGACCTGAAAAGTACAATACCTTAAATGAAAACTCTACTGGATTTGCTTAATAGCAAAATAAAGACAAAAGGGGAGAAATTAATGAACTTGAAGACAGAACAATATAATTTACCCAATCTGAACAAGAGACAGAAAATAGACTACAAAAGAATGAAGAGAGTCTCAGGGACCTGTGATACTATAACAAAGTTTATTTAATATTTCTGTTATTGAATTCTACAGGGAATTAGAGAACATGGAAATGAAAAAAATCATTCAGAGAATAAAATGGCTAAAAATTTCTCAAATTTTCCAAAAGACAAAAACATACACATTCAAAAAGCTGAGGAAACTCCAAACAGGGTAAACTCAAAGGAATTCAGGCCAAGAGACATCAAAATAAAATTTTGGAAAACTAATGGCAAAGAAAAAATCTTGAAAGCAAGAGAGTAAATAAATAACGATACTCATCCATAAGGGGAAAACAATTCAAATATCAGCTAATTTTTCATCAGAAATTATGGGTACCATGGGCTATGGGTAGCACAATATGATTCAACTTTTGAAAGAAAAGTGTTGTCAACCCAGAATTCTATATCCAGTAAAAATATTCTTCAGGAATTATGTGAAAATCAAGACTTTTTTTATGTAAAATTTACTCTTTCCATAATTTTTACAAATATTAAATAAAACATAGTATTTTAAATGAATTGTGTCCCCATAAAATTTATATGTTGGAACTCTCACCCCTAAGATTATATATGAAGATAGCGTCTTTTAGAAGTATAGGTAAATTAGGTCAGAAGGGACCTAATCACATAGGATTGATGTTCTTAAGAAAAAAGAGACACCAGGGATCGTGACATCACCTAGATCTTGGACATCTAGCCTCCACAGCCATGAGAAAATAAAAAACTATTGTTTAAGTTGTCCAGTCTATTTTATTTTGTTATAGCAGCCCTAGACAACTAATAGACATGGACACATAGATAAGAAAAAAGGCAAACAGTGAAAATTAACAGAATTTTATCACACAGACTACAGACAAATTTGGGAGGTATGTTTTCCTTATCTTTTAAAACATATCGATAGGTATGAACCTAATACTGTGATGAGTATTGTTGAAGAATGAAAAACACCTTAGTTTTAGACCTGCCAGGGTTTAGGGGTGTTGGGTAGCAGGGAGGAGAACTTTGTTGTGACTGAGTCTTTATATATCTTGATTGCAGAGACAGTTATTGGAATCTACACATGTGATAAAATGTCACAGAACTATATACACACAGTGTGCCAATATCAGTTTCTTGGTTTAAGCATTTGACTATCATTACATGAAAAAGTAACCTTTGTAGTAACCTGGATGAAAGGTACACAGGACCTCTTAGCATTGTTTTTGCAACTTCCTTTGAGTCTATATTTATTCCAAAATAGCAACATACAATTAACTTTTGAAGGTTCCTGAAAAAAATAAACATAAAATTACCATATGATCCAGCAATTTAACTTCTGGGTATTTATCTGAAGAAAACACTAACTCAAAAAGATATATGTTTCCCAATGGTAATTGCAACATTATTTACAATAGCCAAGATAAGGAAACAATCTAAGTGTCCATCCATGGATGAGAATATTATTTATCCATAAAAAGAATGAAATGTTGCTATTCATGACAACATGGGTGGACCTTGAGAGCATTATGACTAGAAAAATAAATCGGACAGAGGAAGTCAAATACCACATGATCTCGTTTTTTTGGTGTGTAATGTACAACATGGTGATTATAGTCAATAATAAAGTATTGCATATTTGAAAGTTGCTAACAAAGTAGATCTTAAAATTTCTCCTGACAAAAATATTGTAACTATATATGGTGGTGAATGTAACTAGACATTAGGGTGATCATCTCTCAGTATATACAGTTACTGAATTATGATGTCGTACATCTGAAACTATGTGATGTTGTGAGTCAATTATACCTCAATAAAACGTCTATTAAAAGATAATTCTGTTCACTCTGACCTAAGGTTCTCATATGGGCAAAAAAACCAGTAGAGTGATTCTTCATTTGGGGAAGTCCTTGAGTGCACAGTATCACATCTTCCTATGTAAAAAAAATTAAGAATCACACTCAGCGGTCTCACTCCTGGGAATATATCCTAAGAATCCCAAAACACCAATCAGAAAGAATATATGCAGCCCTAAGTTCCTAACAACATTGTTTACAATAGCCAAGATCTGGAAACAGCCCAAGTGCCCACCAGTAGATGATCAGATAAAAAAGCCATGGTACATTTACACAATGGAAAACTACATCGCTGTCTAAAAGAAGGAACTCTTACCCTTTGCAACAGCATGGTTAGACCTGGAGAGTACTAGGCTAAGTGAAATAAGCCAGTCAAAGAAAGACAAATACCATATGATCTCACTTACATGTGGAATCTAATGAACAAAATGAATAAAATAAGACCAGAGGCACGGATACATGGAACAGACTGACGGCTGTCAGAGGGGAGGGCAGCGGGGGCTGTGACTGGAAGAGACAGGCAAAGAGCACATATGCATGACACAGACAACAACGCAGCGAAGGCCGGTGGGGGGTGCAGGTGGCTGGGTGGAGGAGGGGGTCAATGGGGAACATCTGTAATAGCGTCAACAATAAAAAACAATTACAGAAAACACACCAAAAAAATCACTTTTGAGGAGGCTTCCAGCACCAGTACTTGTAAAACTATGCAGATCCTTAAGAAGAAGAAGTGGTATCTCTGAGAAGTTAATTATTGGGCAGATTTGGGGAAGAAAGCATCCAGACCAGAGGTTTCCTAAGTCACCTCCTCTAGGGCACAACATATACTTAAAACAGGGAGTGTTTTTAACACACAGGCCGAGATCAGATGTCCTCCGTGGCTGGGCTTGCCGGTGTCCACACCATGAGGAGCAGGTGTCTGAAACTGCTGCCAGGTAGGTAGAGGTTTAACAGCGATGAGAGGCAGTTAAAGCTATGTGGGAACTCTACCCAGTTTGAAGATATTCTGTGTTCTTGCTTGACATCTGGCTTATTTCTCCAAAATCTCAATAAGGTATAAATGAAAGAAAATTTAAGGATATTAACTCATTTATACTAAATCTCAAAGGAGAAAGTTAGTGAAACTTATTCCTAGGGCATATGTGAGGACTTAACAGACATTTCTCATTTTACCAGTTGCATTAGTCCAGTTTCTGCAGAGGCAGAATCAATGGGAGAAATTATGGGAGAGAAAGACAGAGAGAGAGAGAGAGAGAGAGAGAGAGAGCAACAGAGAGAGAGAACGCTTTATTATGAAGAATGAACTCATGAGAGAGTGGAGGCTGAAAATTCAGAATTCCAGAATCCACAGAGCAGGCCAGTAGGTTGAAAATCCAGAGAAGAATTGATGTTGCATTTCAAATCCAAGTCCAAGGTTGTGTGGAAACAGAATTCTCTCTTCCTCATAGGAGGAAGTCAGTCTCTTTTCTGTTCAGGTCTTTAAGGGATTGGATGAGGTTCACCCCGATTATGGAGGGTCACCTGCTTCACTCAAAGTCTGCGGATATAAATGTTAATCTCATCTAAAATGAAATGCATTCACATGAACATCTTAACCTGTGTTTGACCAGATGTGGCGTAGCCACATTGACCCTTAAGATTAACTAACACACTACCTATATTATTTTCCTCAGGAGAGTAGATAATCAAACTGTCTGAAAACTCCATTATGCTAAGAGATACCTTATCCTGGTGTGCATATCATGGCAGGTTTAAAGGACAGTGAATTAGTAAAAATTGATATTAATGAGGTTAGCTGAAGTCTGATTACTCTACTTCTTTCAATGATTAGGATAATAACTGTTATCTAGTAAGTTAGGCATTCCTAATAGGTTGTCCACATTGGTTGTAATTTTCTGGTTTTTATGAAAAATAGCCATATTTATCATTGTCTGATTTGCGGAACATGACATTTTTTAATAATGGATACATTTTGGGAAGTTCTTATAAAGGCATACAGATCTGAATTTTCACTGGGTTCATGGCTCACACAGATGAAATGACAGACTGTGATAGGTGATCTGGTTATTGCTGTAGGACAGAGTTTATTCCTGTGTGCCCTTTATAGTTTTCATACCACATACCCTGTTCAGTGACATTTCTCAGGACTGAACTGGGTGAAAAAGGGCAAAGGCTGAGTCCTTGGTGTACGACAGGAGGACCAGGTGCTCATTTGGAGGCATAGGAGCCACGGGTGTTGTACTTGGAGAGGCCACTTACCCAGGAGATGGTGGCTCTACCTGCAAGCGCCTTAGTTCTCGCTCTTCACGGCTCATCAGCTCCCTTCTCTCGATTCCCAAACACCCATCTCTGCTGATACTGTGAGCTAGGGCTCACACTTTGGGAGTCTAACTCCAATACCCGCCTTCTTTTTGTATACCCAGAAAATGTACATTAAATGGGAAGTGATCCTTGAAGAGAAATCCTCAGATTTGTGCAATTGACAGAGAACTGAACCTGGATCTGGGCAAAGGGACACCAATCTGAAGACTCTCTCCTTTAAGATGTGCCCCCTCCCCTGGGAGAGGTTGGGGTTTTTAAGATGTGTCCCTATCATCAGCCCTGTGTGGGTTCTGCCCCCTTGCCTGTAGGAACTGACGTTCCATGAGGACTGTGCTGTCGGTGACTGATTCCTCGGGGTGGGGTGTTGAGGGTCTTGAGAGATGGAGGAGAAAGACTCAGTCCTTGATTCTGAGTAAAGTACAAGAAGAACCTGCTGGACGACTGTGGGCCGTAAGCAAGAGCTGCCTCCATAGAGAGCAAAGGCCATGTGGCCAGGAGTTGAAATTGGAGATTGACTCTCTTTTCTTTATCACATCTCCATCTTTTTCTGTCCCAGAACTGTCAGTGTTGCTGTTGCTGCCATGGGTGGCCACGGCCCAGAAAGATACAGGTGAGTCTGCCCAACACAGACCCCCATTTAGTGATATTAAACTGTGGTGAGAACCTTCTCACCAGTTGGGAGGGAAGAAGGTTTAATCTGCAAGTTAGCCTCAGAAATGGTCTTCTGGAGATAAAAGAAGTGGTTTTTACCTCCCTAAATGCCCAGAGTATTTTTTCTTTTTTCCTCTTCCAATAGCAACCACTCCTCCCTTCCCCTTCCCTCCCCTCCTCCAATCTTAGATCCCAGTTGTCTGTGGCTTTATCCATTCCCTGAGCCTTCTGACCATGGACTCCATCCTCACTGTTCTGCTCCCACAGCCTGTATTCGATGGTGCCCTCCAAACCCTCCGTGTGTCAATGCCCATGCCTGTTCCTGCGCTCCAGGATTCAGGTCTGCACCTCTGAACGTCTTCACCGGCCACTTGGAGAGCTGCGATGGTACAGAGACTTGGGAGGGTGGAGGGCATACAGAGATTGTCGGGGGGAGGTTGTGGGGCATCCAGAGCCTTCTTCCCTGAAAGCAGCACAGGGACACTTTGTCAGGGATAAGGGAGAGGAGGCAGGGCTGGGAAGGAGGAGGGAAGTGGGCAATAAACTTTCATGATCAGTAGGTAGAGTGCTGAGAGCTTACACAGTGCAGCTGGGTAGTGTGAGTCCAAAATCTCACTCCACCACTGACTGGCTCTCTGGTTTTCAGGAAATTATGTTTCCTCCCTTTCCCTCAGTTTCCTTGTCTGTAAATTGGGAATAATCATTGTACTTACCCCACATGAATAGTGTGAGATTTATGTATTAACTGTGTGAAAAAACTTTTAAAGACGAAAACAGAGAAATTGTCAAAAAAATATGAGCTATTATCATTGTTACTGTTATTATTTTCATAGTACAAAGAAAGAGGGAATATAATGGGATCAACAGGAGGAAAGAAACACCCACGGCTTGGAATCTCAGGGTCTCCTACCGGCTCGAGCTCCCCAGGAGCCTTGCCCGCCCACGGTCATGGTGCCCACCTCAGACTCACAGCACAGCCAGGACGCAAGCAGGACTAGGGTTTTTCTTTTTTCCCCCACCTTCACTTATTTTGCCCCACTTCTGGGAACCACCAATCTGTTTTCCGTATCTGTATATTTGTGTGTGTGTGTGTGTGGGTGTGTTTGTGTGTGTGTGTGTTAATTTCACACTTAAGTCAGATCATACTGTATTTGTATTTTTTTTTCTTACTTAATGCCCTCAGGGTCCATCCTTATTATCACAAAGAACAGGGTTTCCTTCTTTTTATGGCTGAATAATATTCATTTATCCATCAATGGACTCTTAGTTGTTTTTGTATCTTGGCTATTGTAAATAATGCTGCAATGAACATGGGGACACAGACATCTTTTCAAGATTGTCGTTTTATTTCTTTCTTATATACCCAAAAGTAGAGTTGGTGAATCCTATGATCATTCTATCTTTAAATCTTTGAGGAACCTCCATACTGTTTTTCATAGGGGCTGCGCCAACTTAAATTCTCACAGACAGTGCCCCAGGCCCCTTTTCTTCACATCTTCTCCAACACTTGTTCTAACAAGTGTAAGCAGATATCTCTTTGTGGTTTTGATTTGCATGTCTGCTCATTAGTGATGTTGAGTACATTTTCATGTATCTGTTGGCTATTTCAATGTCTTCTTTGAAAAATATTTATTCACATCCCTTACTCATTTTTCAATCTGATTATTTTGAAACCAGAAAAGCCAGTGTTCCTGCTTCCTGTCACCTACCAGATCCAATAAGCAGAGAAGGGGATAGAATCTTTACGGGCTCTTTATTCAGATGGCTGGCGACCTGAGAAGATGGCGGGCTTGTGCCCTAACAGACCATCTTACATTCTATTTTTAAACTGACCCTCTTTATAAGGAGAAAAAAAGTGTAGGTAAAGGGTCTGGAATTCAAGGGGAAAAAGTGTAGGTAAGGATTTGGAATTCAGGAGAGAGGTTAATTAGATAAAAGCTGCAGTATGGCCATTTCCCTACCATCCTTTAGTCTTCTGACTGGTGATTTTTGTTATCTGTGTCCTATGTCTTATTTCCTGGGTGATTATCTTTATCTGTTTTCTGGGCGGGGACTGTCCCAGGAACACAATGGCTCGATACCACCTTGATTGTTTATGGTCTTTTCTGGAGCACAAAGGTCAGTAGCTTGTGGTCCCCTGGAGTCAGGGTGGGCCGGACCTGCAGTTCCTGAAACAATAGCTTTTTACATGCGTTAACTATTAGGCTTATTAACTGTTACATTAAACTAAAATTTTCAACTTTTGAGTCCCCCATCATTTGTTTGGGTTTCCTTCTATTAAGTTGTACAAGTTTGTATACATTTTTAGATGTTAACCCCCTTCAGATACATGATTTGCAAATAATTTCTCCCAATTGCAGGTTGCTTTTTCATTGTGGTGATAGTTTTCTTTGCTGTACAAAAAGCTTGTTGGTTTGATGTAGTCCCACTTGTCTATTGTTGCTTTTGTTGTCTTTATTTTTTGGTGTCAAATACAAATATTCATTGCTGAGACAGATGTCAAGGAGTGGACTCTGTCCTGTTTCCTTCTATGAATTTTCTTATTTCAGGGTAGCATTTATTTCTTAAATTACCAAATTTTGGGCTCAAAGAGATTCTCAAAACTTTGAATTCATTGTAAAATCCTGACCTGTGGAGACCAGCTGCCTGCCTTGATTCATCATGACCTCATGACTACTTTCAGGCTGTAGCCTTTGATCCTCTGATTGGAACGTACAGGGTTAAACATTCTCTCCTTGGGTTTTGATTCATCTTGTGTCCCTGGTTCTTATTAAGTTGTTTTTGCTGTTATCCAATGGTGTCCAGCCCCTCCTCTGGGGTCCCTGAGCTACTCAAAGGGGTCCTAGCGCATGGGCATCTTTCTTTCATGTTTCGAGAACAGGGAGATAAGATGCCAGAAAACACTTCAGTAACAGCTGTGAGCAGCTTCGTGCTGCTTTCTCATTTTACATCTGTCATGAGCTCTGATAAAGGGGAACTTCCTCCAGGGGTGGAAACAGGAAGACTCCCCCTGAGATATCCTGGGGCATCTTCAAAAGAGCTGACATTGGGAGCTGGGGCAGTGCCTGATGAGGAGGGTGGGGTGCACTTGGGCCACTCTGAGTAATGGGGGGAGCGTGGAAGCTGTCAACAGGCAGGGGTCTGACATCTGGCTCTATCTTCAGGTGTGTGATGAGCAGCATCCTGAACAGCCCCCAGCCAAGACTCCCTCCATGACCCCCTCCATGACCTCAGCACTGAGGGTGGTCTTCAAATCCACTGTCACCCTGACTGGAGGCCACCCTAAGAACCCAACGATGCAAAAAGCACCACAGTGTAGGTTTTGGAGCTGAGTCAGTGCCTCCGTCCAGCCCTCGAGGCCTGGAAAGGGGATGCAGTCCCCCTTCCAGCCCCACCATGACACAGCGGAGTGTCTGAGTCTAGGTGTCCTCAGAGCGGTCAGACAGCAGAGAGGAGCAGGGAGGTCAGAGGGCTCTGGGGAAGCTGCCTCTGCCAAGCCCAGCCCCGGGAGCACTACCCTGGACTTGCATTCTGTCCAGTCCCCATGGCAAGGTCAGACCGGAGGCCAGGTTCTGTGTCCTGTGGGAACTTGTGCCTTTGAGAGCTGACATTTTGTCCTGTTGTGTTCCAGACATCAAGGAGTGTAGACCATCCTCGAGAGTGTCCTGTGGAGTATATTTAGACTGCGAAGACTTCATGGAGAGCTACTGCACTTGCAGCCCAGGCTACAGACCTGTTTCCAAGGCAATGTTCCACATTGATCCTCACAAACCGTGTGATGGTAAGAAGAACCCTGTGTCTTCATTCTCCTCAATCATTAGGTTTGGGATTCTCAACCCTTTCTCCAGGCCATCAGGGTGGTGGAGAAGGGAGCCTGGGCACCTACCAGGTCACACACCTTCTCTGAAACCCAAGGCTCTGAACTCCCCCACCAAATGCCACTTAGGCAATTTTGGAACATCATTTTATTACCACCTGGTATCTTATTTTCGTAAAACAAAGAAAGGAGTAGCATCAAGATGCTTCAAGACTCACAGAGTGTTGCATTCCAGTGCAATATTCATCTTTGTCTTCATCAGTGGCTGCCAGGTTGAGACCTTCCCTCACTAGAGTCCACGTGGATTCGGCTGCCCTGGGAGCACTCTCAGACCCCTCAGGCCTTGAAGGGCCCTGTTCAGAAATGCGGGTGTGGGAAGAATCAAGGGTGGATCACATGGTGAAACCCTTCCTTGCATCCTGACCCTATTTCTCAACCTCTCAGCTGCACCTATTTCCCCAAGCAAGTCTCCACCCTTATTTAATCCCACAATTTCAGTTCATGGGCCTGTGAGCAACTCAGATGACTGGGGTGGGCAGAGTGACATAGACCACCCCACATATACTTGGAAAGCTGAATAGAGGGAAGAGGCTCCTATCCTGATGAGCTTGAAAGAGAGGACACAATTCGACACCATTTCCCCAGGCCCAACCCTCTCCTGTAGAGGTCAGCCTAGGCCGCCTGGAGGCCCGGACCACTGGGGGACAGGTGATGGAGGCTGAGCCCTCCTCAGCAGGACCTACAAGTCTCTGTCCCTTGTGGGAAACCAAGGAGTCAAATGATAGAAACAGCTGCCATCCTTCACCCACCAGACCCTGCTCCCCTCTCCAGACACCCAGCCCTCACCTACTGCTGGTCTTGCTCAGAAGCAGATTCTCACCACTTCCTGCCAGTCCAGGGGGTGCCTTTCTGGGGATCAGAAGAGGCACCTTCACCACCCCAAGCCTGCATGGCGGACATCAAACTTCACTGTCCACCACAGGCCAGCACCATCCACCGTCTGGGTGGCTTGGGCTGGACTGGCATCGTCTTTATTCTTTTCACTCCTTCATGAAAGCCCTTTGAGGAGTCAGGCTTGTGAGTGAGTTTGAGCCAGCTCCACGGAGCTCAAGTCTCAGAGCTTGCACAGATGGGAGAACTCTGTCCTGCCAGCGTCATCAAAGTTCCAAGGAGAATTCAGGTAGAGAGCAGCTATCCTGGGGGAGGGCGGACAAAGGCCAATCCCTGGGAGCCACGATGGGTACTGCTCAGGGAACGCAGCATTCCTCCTGCACTTGGTTCCCAGGAAGGCCCATCCTGGCCTTTGTCCAAATCCTCAGGCTGGGGCATGGGTAGCCATGATGTCCCTACCTCACCTGGGAGCTTTTCCCAGGGAAAAGGGCACAGGGGCTGAGAGACAGGGAGAACTCAGGCCCCTTCCATCCACATCTGGACAAGAGAGCATCGAGGCCACCACATTCACCCATAGGGTGTGTGCTCCTACTCACACTCACGTGAAATGGCACCTACTCACCGGGAAGGAGAGAGTGGACCTTCACAAAGCAGATTTGTGCCATGGCCAAAGAACAAACTATGTAGATAAGAGAGAAAGCAAACCAATCTGAGGACTTTCTTCCTCCTGTAAGATTTACCCCCTCCATCTGAAAAGGTTAGAGTTCTTAAGATGTGTCCGTCATCAGCTGTGTGTGTATGTTCTGTCCCCTTACTTGCGGCACCTGAGGGTCCCTGAGGGCTCGGTCAGTGACTGGCCCTTGGGGAGGCCTGGGAAATGGAGGGGAGAGACTGAGTCCTTGGTTCCAAATAAAGTTTAAAAACCTCAGGTAAGCTGCCAGAAAGCTATGGGTTGCAGGGCCAGAGCCACCTCCCCAGGCGGCAAGGGCCATGTGGGCAGGGGTTGAAATTGGAGCTCCACTTTCCTATCTTTACCGTTTCTCTGTCTTTCAATCCCAGGACTCATTTTGCAGCTGCTTTTGACATTGGTTGCTGCAGAGAAAAACCGAAATGGTGAGTCTGCCTGGCCAAGCCGGCTACTGACGAACCGGGGAGTGCTCGTTGAGGTCTGGGTCCTCTCACCAACAAGGGGGGAAAGGAGGTCCAGAGATGGTCTTCTGGAATTAACAGACTCCATTTCCTCCTCCCTAAATGTCAACAATTTTCTGAGTTCTTTCAAGTCCAGTGGCAGCCAACATTCCCTCCCTACCCTCTTCTTTTGGACCCCCATTTGGTAGCTGACTTCCTCCATTTCATCAGCTTTCTTTTTTTTTAATTTTATTTAATTTTTCCAAATACTTTTGTCTCGGCCTTACCCCCACCACTTTCCCCTGCCCCGCCCCCCATTCCTTCCCCACTTTGGTTTTTGTCCATGAGTCCTTGCTATATGTTCCTTGACTTGCTCATCAGCTTTCTGATCACGGTCTCCATCCCGACAGCCTCGACCTCCATGGCCTGTGCTCCGTGGTGCCCCCCGCAGTCCACGTGTGTCAACGCCACTGCCTGTCGCTGTGCTCAGGGATTCAGCTCTTCATCTGGGGAGATTGTCACCAAAGCTTCGGAGACATGCGATGGTACAGAAGCTTGGGGAGTGGAGGGAATACAGAGATTGTAGGGGGAGGTTGCGGAGCATCCCGAGCCCTCATCCCTGAGAGCAGCACAGGAGCACTTTGTCAGGGATAAGAGAGAGGAGGCAGGGCCGGGAAGCAAGAGGGAAGTGGGCATTTTTCATAGTCTGTCAGATCCACTACCCATTTTTAAATTGGATTGGGGGGGGGGCGGGGTTTGTTGTTTTTGTTCTGTTGAGTTGTATGAGTCCTTTTATATAGTATTTTGGAGGTTAACCACTTATCAGCTATATGATTTGCAAAGATTTTCTCCCGAATTGTAGGTTGTCTTTTTATTTTGTTGATGGCTGCCTTTGCTATCCAGTAGCTTTTTAGGTTGATGTAACCCCACTTACTTATTTTTGCTTTTGTGGACTTTGCTTTTGATGTCAAATCCAAAAATGTCAGGGAGTTCAGCCCGTAAGTTTGATTCTAGGAGATTTATGTTTTCACAGTAGTATTATTTTTTAAAAGATGATAATTTGGAGCAAAGAGATTAAGTGAATTACCCAAAGTCACGCAATTAATAAGGTGGTAAAACCTAGATCCAGGACTAAAACTGGAGTTGTTATTCTTCAATAACACAAGATCAGGAAAGGAAAGTATACTACTTAAAATGGTTAAGACAGTAAATTTATGTTGTGTGAATTTTACCACAGTGATCAGTGGCAAAAAAAGAAATCATATGATTTTTTACACCAAGAAATTCTCTTCATCTACTCAAAATAGTCTTAGAAGCACATTTATTGATAATTTAAAAATATTCCTGTGTGTTTGAAACAATGAAAAAAAATTCCTAAAATTTCCCAATAGTCTATGCAGTGACCTTACAGGTAATTTTCGTTGTTTTCTTTCTTTACATTTTCTTTTATATATATATTTTTTTCTTTAAATTGTTATTCAATTACAATTGTCCACATTTTCTTCCATTACTCTTCCCTGCTCTACCCACCCCACACCTTCTACTTTCAATTGTCCCCCACCCCTCGTCGTCTTGTCCACGGGTCTTTTACACACGTTTCCTGAGCTGACCCTTTCTCTTCTTTCCCCTGTTGTCCTCCTTGCCCCTCTCTTCTGGTCACTGTCAGTCTGTTCCTTATTTCCATGTCTCTGGTTCTATTTTGCTCACTTGTTTGTTTTGCTGTTTCACTTATAGGTGAGATCATATAGTATTTGTCTTTCACCACCTGGCTTATTTCATTTAGCAAAATACTCTCCAGTTCTACCCAGGCTGTTGCAAAGGGTAGGAGGTCCTTTTTCCTTTCTGCTGTTTAGTATTCGGTTGTGTAAAAGGACCACAGTTTTTTGATCCACGCATTTACTGATGGGCACTTAAGCTGTTTCCAGCATTTGGCTATTGTAAATAAGGCTGCTATGAACATAGGGCTGCGTAGGTTCTTTTGAATTGGTGTTTCAGGATTCTCAGGGTATAATCCCAGCAGTGGAATTGCCAGGTCAAAAAGCAGTTCCATTTTTAGTTTTCTGAGGAAATTCCATACTCTTTTCCACAGTGGCTGCACCAGTCTGCATTCCCACCGAGAGTGGGTTCCCTTTTCTCCACAACCTTGCCAGCACTTGTTGTTTGTTGATTTGTTTATGATGGTCACTCTTACCAGTGTGAAGTAGTATCTCATTGTAGTTTTAATTTGCATTTCTCTAATGGCTAGTGATGCTGAGCATCCTTTCATATATCTCTGGGCCCTCTGTATGTCCTCCGTGAAGAACTGTCTGTTCAGGTCCTTTGCCTGTTTTTTAATTGGATTGTTTGTCTTCTTGGTGTGGAGTCATTTGAGTTCTTTATATATTTTGGAGATCAAACCCTTGTCTGAGGTATCATTGGTAAATATATTTTCCCCTACGGTTGGTTCCTTTTTCATTTTCCTGATGTTTTCTTTAGCTGTGCAGAAGCTTTTTAATATGATGTAGTCACATTTGTTTATTCTCTCCTTTATATTCCTTGCTCTAGGGGACATACCAATGAAAATATTGCTGTGTAGAATATCTGAAATTTTCCTGCCTATGTTCTCCTCTAGGACTTTTATGGTGTCATGACTTATATTTAAGTCTTTTATCCATCTTGAGTTTATTTTTATGTATGGTGTAAGTTGGTGGTTGAGTTTCATTTTTTTTTGCACGTAGCTGTCCAGATCTCCCAACACCATTTATTGAAGAGACTATTTTTACTCCATTTTATGCTTCTACACCCTTTGTTGAATATTAATTGAACATAGAGCCATGGAGTTATTTTTGGGCTCTCTTCTTTTCCACTGATCTGTGTGTCTGTTCTTATGCCAGTACCAGACTGTTTTGATTAATGTGGGCTTGTAATATAGTTTGATATCAGGTATTGTGATCCTCCTACTTTATTCTTCTTTCTCAAAATAGCTGAGGCTATTTGGGGTCATTTATGGTTCCATATAAGTTTTTGAAATGTTTGTTCTATATTTGTGAAATATGTCATTGGTATTTTAATAGAGATTGTGTTGAACCTATAGATTGCTTCGGGTAGTGCGGACATTTTAATAGTGTTAATTCTTCCAATCCATGAACATGGTATATGCTTCCATTTATTTGTGCCTTTCTTAATTTCTTTCTTCAGTGTACAGGTCTTTTACCTCCCTGGTTAGGTTTATTCCTAGGAACTTTATTTTTCTTGCTGCTATAGCAAATGGGATTTTCTTTCTAATTTCTGTTTCTGATATTTTGTTGTTGGTTTACAAAAATATCTTCAATTTCTGAATATTGACTTTATTTCCTCCTTTTTTGCTAAATTTACTTATTAGGTCAAGTAGTTTTTTGGTGGAGTCTAGGGTTTTCTATTGATGCTATCGTGTTATCTGCAAACAATGACAGTTTTACTTCCTCCTTTCCAATTTGGAAGCGTTTTAATTCTTTTTCTTGTCTGATCTCTGTGGCTTGAACTTCCAATACTATGTTGAGTAGAAGCGGTGAAAGTGGACACCTTTGTCTTATTCCTGATCTTAGTGGGAAAGCTTTCAGTTTTTGCCCATTGAGTATGATGTTGGCTGTAGGTTGCTCGTATATGGCCTTCATTATGTTGGAGTATGCGCTCTCTACTCCCACTTTGCTGAGTGGTTTTTTGTTTTAAATCATAGATGGGTGTTCTACTTTATCAAATGAAAGAGAAAAAGGAAAAAAAACAACCTAAGATAGGGCATAATAAAAATTTAAGACAAAAGTAGATTAGGATAAGGGAACAGTAAAATTTGAGACTTGAAATACAAATTTAGTGAAGATGTGGGGATAAAATTGAAAAAAATGCAACAACAACTACCCTATCTACAACCAGTGAGCAAAGATTGCTAAAGGTGGAGAGGGAACATGGGTATTTGAAGACTGTAAAAAGAGTGTGAGATGACCATTGACAAGAAAATTGGTTTAGAGAGGCTGGATGGGGGAGAAATAGTAAGAGTGTGGAATGGAGACAAGTTGTAGCAAGAAAGAAAACAAAATTTAAAATGAAAATAATGAGAATAAAGAAGACGGCAAAATGGGTAAGAGAAGGGAGGGGCACAATAAATGAAGTTAAAAAGCTATGCAGGAAAGAAAATATCACAAATCATGGAGAAGACCATGGTGGATTTCGCCTCGTTAGCATCTAGTATTTACCACTGTTTTTTCTTTCTGGATCTTCCTCTGGTGATGTCGGATGGTGTGCCCATCTGACCTTAGGCAGCCTGTTTGAGACTTCCAGGGATCTACTGTCTGTGGCTGACTCCTTCAGTAGTTAATCTAGCCTCTCTGCACTCAGCAGTCAGGATTAAGCACCACAGGGTGGGGCAGAATCCCTTCAGGGGGTAGGGCTGTTGTTTCACCTGAGGCTGTTGCTGCTCAGAGGGGAGCCGTCTGCCTGAGCATGAGGGCCGCTGCCATATGGGGGATGACTCAGCACCAGGATCCTGAAGGCTACTCTCAGTTCTCTTCCCAAAACTTCTGTCCCAGTCTCTCCTCAAGCATCTCTTGTTTACTCTGCCTTACTTTTGCCAAAGTCCAGGGTTAAGTGGCTGCAAAATGGAAATTTATGTGTTGGTCCTTTAAGTGGCTCTTTGTGTCTGCAGCCATCATCTCTGGCAGGAGCAACCCTGCCACTTTTCACCACTGGGTGTTATCTGTGTATTTTTCGGGCTCTGGTGCTCTAGGCTGGGGAACCCATCTTAGGGTGTAGATCCCACACTCCTCAGGGGGATTCAACTAGCCGCTTAAGTGTTTCTCTGGCGCTCCCGCTGCTGCCTGTGAGCACCAGCCAAACCTCCCGTGTTTCCACCACACTCCCTACCAGTCAGATTGTGCTGAAGCTGACTTTTCTGTCTGTCTAAGGTTTCAAGGCTTCTCTCTCGCTGTCGTTCAGTTGTTTGTTCTTGGTGATTTCTCCACAATTTAGTTGTAATTCCAGATTGGTCCCAGGAGGAGGTTAGTGTGACTTCCACTCAGTCCTCCGCCATCTTGGATCCCCACCTTTTCTTTTTTTTCTAAGCATCCATATGTTATTTAATATTGAATGGAAAGTAAATTTTATTAGGGGAAAGAAAAAGATGTTGAGTAATGCCCAGCTAATCTGTGACCCTAAGGGTATTCCTATAGGGTCCTTTGTGTATTGCATGTGTGTGTCTCATGGAGATTTGTAGACTCAGTGGACACGGAAGAGATCCTGCTGCTACTGTGCCTTGATCTCAGCTCTCTTACTGAGAGCACACTGTCAGGTTGAGAAATTTCCTATCATCATGTCCTCCAGAGCCACACACCTATTTTCATGCGACTCCACCCCACACCCTTAACCTGGAAAGCAGGTCTCCAGCCATTGCCACCAGCTGAGAGCAGACGCATCCCTCCTGCTTTTTCCCTGACCTGGTGCTGACACCACAGCCTAGGCTGGGGATCTTACAAGGGAAACTCACAAGCTGGAAGAAGAAACTTTGATCTGAGAGAGACCATCTGAAAGTCCTATCAGGTTCTAAAGTCTTTGGTCCCCTTAGTGGTACATACAGGACCAAATATTCTGTCTCTGCATTTTGATTCATTTTTATGTATGTGGTTCTTTTTAAGCCATTGTTTTTAGCCAACGGTGTTTAGCCCCTGCTCATTGGGTCCCCGAGCTACTCAAAGGGGACCTGGGTCATTGTCATCTCTCTCTCCCTCTTATTTATAGAACAGGGAGAGAATACGCCAGAAAACACTGTGGTAACTCAGCTGTAAGCAGCGTCATGATGCTTTCTTATTTCACATCTGTCATGGGCTCTGATAAGGGAGGACTTCCTCCAGGGGTGGGGACAGGAACACTCCTTCTGAGGTATCCTGGGGCATCTTCAAAAGAGCTGACATTGGCAGCTGGGGGAGTTCCTGATGAGGATGGTGGGGTGCACTTGGGCCACTCTGAGTAATGGATGGGGAGGCCTCAATGGGCAGGGGCCCTACACCTGGCTCCATCCTCAGCTGTGAAGGGTAATGTCACCCCGACAGCCCCCAGCCATGACTCCCTCCTTGACTTCAGCCCTGAGAGCGGCCTTCACTGCCACACTCACCCTGCCTGGAGGCCACCCCCAGGTCCCCAGTGGTGCAAAAGCACCTCATGGAGGGTATGGAGTTTGAGTCAGTGCCTCCATCTACCCTTCAAGGCCTGGAAGTGGGGTGCAATTCCCCTTCCAGCCCCATCATGACACAGCAGAGTGTGTGAGCCTGGGCGTCCTCAGAGCAGCCAGACGGCAGAGAGGAGCAGGGAGGCCAGCGGGCTCTGGAGCAGCTGGCCCAGCCCAGAATATGGAGTGCTGCCCTGGACCTGTACTCTTCACTTCCTTCAGGCATTGGAGGGCCATCCTGGGCACCTACCTTTTCATCTACCCTCTCTAAGACTCAGAACCCTCCACAGAGAGCCACTTCCCAGCAGTTCAGAATGTCCATCCTGCCAACCTGGAATCTTATTTTAATAAAACAAGGGGGAGAGTGGTATTAAGATACTTCACATTTTTGAGAGGTGACCCTTTTTGTTGTTGTGTTCCAGACATCAATGAATGTGAATCACCCTCCACAGTGTCCTGTGGAAAATTTGCCAACTGCCAGAACACAGAAGGGAGCTATTACTGCAGGTGCAACTCAGGATATAGGCTTGTTTCTGGGGCCGCACGATTCTCGAATGAAAGTGAGAACACATGTCAAGGTGAGGGTCTCCTTGTGTTTTCTGCCTCCTTGGAAGTGGGGGGTTCAAGGGCGGGCCCATCTTCCCTGGCCAGCCCTGTCATGTCCAACAACCCCTGCAGCCTGGCCCCACTTCCCAGCGGCTCATCTATTTTCCCACATAAATGACCCTCTGGCTCCTCCCCCTGAGTAATTTCAGTTCACGACGTGAGGACAACACAGATGATCAGGACTCAGAAGAATGTTGTCTTGGATCTGAGCAGGACGACACGGACCCCACCACTCACAGGCAAACTTGATAAGTCACATAAATGGAAGAGGCTCCCGTCTGAACCAGGCTACAACAGAGGTCATCATCAGGGACCCCTGACTCGCTCATGGGGATACACAGGTCTGTGTCCCTCATGGGAGAGCAACGGGCCAGAGCACAGAAATGCCCGCCACCCCTCACCCATCAGACCCGGCTCCCCTCTCCAGCCAGCCAGCCCTCACCTCCGCTGGTCTTCCTCAGACGTGGATTCTCGCCACCTCCTGCCAGTCTAGGGGATGCCATCTTAGGAGTGAGAAACAGGCACCAGGGATGCTTGGCTGGACGTCAGCCCCCAGGGACCAACCAGGACTCGGTGCCGCTTGGGTGGCCCTGTCCTGTCCAGCATCTTCTTCATCCTCCTTGCCCCTGTCCGATAGCCTCATCCGTGGAGGGCCTGTCCCAGGGACGGTTCTTGGTCCATCTCTCCCAAGATGCCTTAGGGTTGGCGTGGAGGGGGCACCGCTGCCCTGACAGTGTCAATGGGATTCCAAGGAGAAGTCATCCAGTGAGCAGCTGCCCTTCCGCAGTTAGGACAAAGGCCGCTATGGGAAGCCAAGATAGGTCCTGCTGGCGAAATGCGTTTCCTTTCTGTTCAGTTCCCAAGAAGGCCCACTCTGTCCCTGTCCCCCACCCCAGCTGAGAGCTTGCCAGGAAGGCTGAGGGCACTGGGGGTGGCAGACAGGTAGGACTCAGGCTGATTCCATCCACGTCCAGACAACAGAGCACCTAGGCCATCACATTAGTATGCTATGAGGCCTCCATGTGAATAAGAAAAGGTGCCCACTAACCAGTGGAGAGGCGGGTGGGGTATAGTGGGATCTTCCAGATGCTCCCAAACCAGAGTCCATGAATTATCAAATGATTATCTGGTAAGGTACCTGGCTGGACCTGGCCACAGACCCCACCCCCAACACACCCCCCCCTAATGAACTGCTCTTCTTTCCATACCAGGGACCTCCTTTCCCATCTGGATTGCAGCCCCTAGAATCAAAAACAAGGTGAGTGGCTCCAGCAGAAAGCAAGAGTCAGGGAATACCTCCATGTTGCGTACAGCATCCGCCTAGTTTCCCCAAGTTCGCCCATCTACCTCGAAGGCGCTCTGACCATCTCATCTCTCTCCCCAGCGGTTTTCCCACTTCTCCAAAAAAATTGATGATTTGCGCAAAAACTTTATACCAGCCTTGGCTATGGACACCATCCAGGTAAGGACAGAACCCAGGGGAGGCAGGTGGAGGCATCTCACAGACGACTGGGGACACCTTGGTCTGCGAAGAGACAGACCCCAACACAACGGTGCTGTGCTCTGAGTCCCCGGCCTCTCCTGGGGAAGAGCAGGCACATAGGATTTGTACTCACTCTTAGACACTGTGTGCACAGATTAGCATCTTTCCTCTTGTTGTTCCTACCTTTTGGGTTTACCTCAACCTTGGCTTTCATGAACAGGGTTGACCTCTGAGTGGCTGGATTACAGGAGCAAAGACTCAGGGAATCCCATCTGGTACCACTTTTATATCCAAATTGTCTGTTCTCTGTGGCTTTGTGGGTAGAGTCTTCCTGTAGCTCCTCTGGTGCAATATCCACTGGTTATGTGCCCATTGCCCGCCCTCCAGAACATCATACAGGCAGTTGATGACCTGCTGGACGAGCCTGAGGACCTGAAGACCTGGCCCCGCTCAGAGCAGCACTGTGTGGCCAGCAACCTGCTCTTGAACATGGAGCATGTCTTGAGAGAGCTGAGCAAGGCCCCGCCCAATAAGTCACTGACCTTTAATACAGCTGGAGGCACAAGTAAGTTTCTGGGTTTGCCCCTGGCTCTACTCTGTCCATTCTCCAACTTCTTACTCCCCTAACCTCACTGCAGCTGAGTGACCACGCTTGTATCTCAGTGTTATTCTCGTAAACAAATTAAAAGCTTAAAAAGAAATGAATAAATTATGCAAAGTGAAATAAGTCAGACAGAAACAAATACTGTTATGATATCACTTGTATGTGCAATCTAAAAAACAAACTCACGGATACAGAGACTAGATTGGTGGTTGCCAGAGGCAGGGGGTGAGTTGGAATAGATGAAAGGAGTCAAAAGCTACTAACTTCCAGTCATAAAATAAATAAGTCATGGGGATATGTACTATACAGCATGGCGACTAAGTTAATAATACTGTATTACATACATGGAAGTATCTATGTGAATAAATCTTAAATGTCTTTATAACAAATCATAAAAATTTAGTAACTATGTATAATGACCAATATTAATTAGGATTATTGTGGTGATCATTTTGCAATATATGTAAACACTGGACCATTCGTACATCTGAAACCAATGTCAGTTATACCTCAATAAAAGAGAAATGAATACAGTTATAAATATACATTTTCATTGTAAAATTAATTATGAACAGATAAAATAAGGATAATAAAGAATTTAAAGTACAAAAGGCTTCAAAAGAGAATAATTTATTTCATTTTAAAGAATATTAATTTCACTATTACTTGATATTTAAAATGATTTGTCTTATTGAGGTAAAATTCACGTGACGTAAAGTTCACCATTTTAATCAATTGTGCAATTCAGTGGCATTTAGTACATTCAGAGTTGTAATCATCACCTCTATTTCAAACATATTTTCATCACTCCAAAACTAAACACAGCACCCACTAAGCAGTGGCTCCTCATTTCTCCCTCCTCCAGCCCCCGGCAACCACTTACCTTACCATTTTACGTCTCTATAGATTCGCCTGTTCTGGACAGTTCATATAACAGTCACCAAATATGTTACCTTACAATTTAGCTTCTTTCACCTAACAATGTTTTCAAGGTTCATCCATGATGTAGCATGTATTGTCAACAGATGATACTTGGCGCCCATTCAGACGCTAACAGGAATCCCCAGTTTGGGGTGTGGTGAAGAAGAAAACTGTTCCGTGCAAGACGGCTCAGCTGTGACACAGCAAGGCTGTGAAAACGGCACAGCTGCAGGGCAGCCCTGGGGCCAGGCGCCGCTCCAGCTAAACTTCTCTCCTGCTCCTCCGTGGTCTGCTCTGCTCTGCTCCGCGCAGGTCTGCTTTACTGTGCTTTAGTGAGAACTCTCAGTATTTCAGCTCGGCCAGGGAGACACAGCCCAGGAAATGAGGCAGTTTATATGGGCAAAAGTCCTCACCTCCGGTTTCTGACTGTTCTATTCTCATGCAAATGAGGATGCCAAATCCACCCAGTTTGATTGGTCCAAAGGGTACTGTCCTGATTGGTCAGTATAGAGACTCTCTGGTTGGTTGGCACCGTGCAGCCCTGATTGGAGGGGAAGCCTCAATCGTTTTGGTTGAAATAGGATTCCAGGAATGCTTTGTAAGGGCTGGCTCAAATGGCAGGCATTTTAGGGTAGAGGAAGGCAGTTTAACACAGAGCTTTCTCTGTGATGTGCAGTTTGCACGAGAGGCCCCTGTGCACAAATGGCTGCTAGGCTTCTGCTTTTTTAAAAATTTGAACCCAGTTAGCTACTAGGAGCCCTCCTTAGTAAGTGTCTTTTGTTCCTCAGGGTTCACAGTATCATATTTCTTTCCTTTTTATGGTTGAATAATAGTCCCTTGTATATGGATATACCACATTTTGTTTATCTATTCATCCATTAATAAACATATAGGTTGTTGCCTCCTTTTGACTATTGTGAACAATGCAAATATGAATATTGGTGTACAGGTTTTGCCTGAATAACTTTTCATCTCTTTAGGGTATATAATTTAGGGTGAAATTTCTGAGTGATATGGTAATTCTACATTCAACTTTTTTGAGGAACCACGAAACTATTTTTCCAAAATGGCTGCTCTTCCCTTTACATTCCCACCGGCAATTTACTAGAGTTCCAATTTCCACATCTTCAGAAACACTTGTTGCTTCCATTTTGTTTTTGTTTTATTACAGCCTCTTTACTGTATGTCAGGTGACATCTCACTATGGTTCCGTTTCACATTTCCTCTAACAACTGATGAGGTTTAACATTTTTACCTGTTATTTTTGGACATTTGTGTATATTTTTTGGATAAATGTCTATTAAAGTCCTTTGCCTATTTTTAAATTTTGGTTGTTGAGCTGTAAGTGTCCTTGATCTAATAGAATACCCTATGAGATACATGATTTGCAACTATGTTGTCCCATTCCATAGGCTGTCTTTTCATGTTCTTCAGTCTCTTCACCTAATGAATAGATGCTTTGCGTATGGTGAAGTCCATTTTATCTTTTGTTTTTTCTTTTCTTGCTTGTACATGTGGTATCGTATCTAGGAATCCATTTCCAAATTCAACACCGTGAAGATTTGCCCTTATGTTTTCTCCTAATTCTTCTAGTTTTAGCTCTTAAATATAGGTCTTTGTTCATGTTAAGTTAATTTTTGTTTATTGAATGAGGGAAAGTACCAACTTTTTTGTGTGTGTTTGTGGATAGCCATATATCCAAGCACCACTTGTAGAAGAAACTACTCTTTCTACATTGAAGGATTTTGGCACCTCTTGTTGAAAATTAATTGACCATAGATGAATGAGTTTGTTTCTAGACTCTTAATTCTATTTTGATGGTCTATATGTCTATCCATATGCCAGAACTGTACTGGTTTGGGTTTTTTTTTTTTTAGTGTAAATATAATATTTATTTATTTATTTATTATCTTTTAAATTACAGTTGACATTCAATATTATTTGTATTAGTTTCATGTGTACAGCATAGTGGTTAGACATTTATATAATTTACAAAGTGATCCTCTGGTAAGTCTAGTACCCACCTGGCACCATACATAACTATTAAAACATTATTAACTATATTCCCTGTGCTGTACTTTATATTTCTGTGACTATTTTGTAACTACCAATTTATACTTAATCCCCCTTTTCCTTTTTCACCCAGTCCCTTAAACCTCTCCCCATAAAGCAGCCATCAGTTTATTAACTCCATCTATGAGTCATGTTTTATTTTGTTTATTTTGTTCTTTAGATTCCACATATAAATAAAGCTATATGGTATTTGTCTTGCTCTGTCTGACTTATTTGATTTAGCACAATATCCTCTAGGTCCATCCATGTTGTCACAAATGGCAAGATTTTATTTTTTCTATGGCTGAATAATATTCCATTGTGTATATATATGACCTCTTCTTTGTCCATTCGTCTATTGATGGGCACTTAATTTGCTTCCATATGTTGGCTATTGCAATGAACATAGTGGTCCATCTATATTTTCAAATTACTACTTCGGATTTCTTCAAATTAATACCTAGAAGTGGAATTGCTGAGTTATAAGGCAGTTGTATTGAATATTTTGAGAAACTTCTATATGTTTTCCATAGTGGCTGCACCAATTGACAATACCACTAACAATGCATGAGCGTTCCCTTTTTTCCATATCCTCACCAAAACTTATGGATTATTAACTTATTGATGATAGCCATTCTGACAGGTGTGAGGTAATATCTCATTGTGGTTTTAATTTGCATTTCTCTGATGATTAGTGATGTTGAGCATCTTTCCATATGTCTATTTACCATTTGTATGTCCTCATTGGAGAAATGTCTATTCACATCTTCTGACCATTTCTTACCTGGATTATTTGTTTTGTGTTGGTGTTGAGTTGTATGAGTTCTTTATAAATTTTGGATATTAATCCCTTATCAAATGTATCACTAGCAAATATCTTTTCCCAATCTGTAGGGTGTCTTTTTGTTTTGTTGATGGTTTACTTTGCTGTGCAAAAAACTTTTTAGTTTGATGTAGTCCCATTTGTTTATTTTTTTCTTTTGTTTCCCTGGCCTGAGGAGATATATCAAATAATATTACTGTGAGCAGTCTCAGACAGTTTACTGCCTACATTTTCTTCCAGGAGTTTTAAGGTTTTGGATTTTACACTTAAATCTTTAATTCATTTTGAGTTTATTTTCATACATCGTGGAAGAAGGTGGTCTAGCTTCAATTTTTTTTACATGTGTCTGTCCAGTTTTCTCAACACCATTTATTGAAAAAATTGTCTTTACCCTATTGTATGTTCCTGCCTTCTTTGTCATAAATTAATTGGCCGTATAGGTGTGGGTTTATTTCTGCGCTCTCTATTCTGTTCCATTGATTTATGTGTCTGTTTTTATGCCAGCACAACGTCATTTTGATTATTGTAACCTTGAAGAAGAGTTTGACATCAGGTAGTGTGATACCACCAACTTGGTTCTTTCTTAAGATTGCTGTGGCTATTCGGGGTCTTTTGTGACTCAATATAAATTTTAAAATTGTTTTTTCTAGTTCTGTGAAAAATCCATTGGTATTTTTGTCTTTTTTTATATTAAGTGTATCTGGGTGACATCGATTAATAAGATTACATATGTTTGAAATGTACATTTCTGTGATACACGATCTGTGTATTGCACTGTGTGCCCACCACCCAAAGTCAAGTCATCTTCTGCTACCACATAATTGACCCCTTTCAGTCTTTACTAACTTCCTTTCCTGACTTCCCTCTGGTAACTGCCATACTGTTGTCTGTGTCTTTGAGGTTTTCTTTGTTTATTCACATGTTGCTTTCAGTTTTATATCCCACATGAGTGAAAGCATGTGTTTCTTAACTTTTTCTGTCCAACTTATTTTGCTTAGCGTATTTTCAAGGTTCATCCATCTTGTTGCAAATAGCAGCATTTCATCTCTTTTATGGCTGAATAGTATTCCATTGTATATATCTACCACATCTTCTTTATCCAGTCATTCATCAAAGGATGCTTTGGCTGTTTCCATGTCTTGGCCACCGTGAATGATGCTGCAGTTAATATAGGGTTGCACATATCTTTGCAAATAAATATTTTCAAATTTTCCCGGTAGATACTTAGAGGAGGGATTGCTGAGTCATGTGGTAACTATGCTTAATTTTTTGAGGAAACTCCATACTGTTTTCCATAGTGTCTGTATGAGTTTACATTCCCACCAGCAGTATATGAGGGTTCCTTTTTCTCCACAACCTGTCTGACACTTGGTATTACTTGTCTTATTGATAATGACCTTTCTAACCTTTCTAACAGGTGTGAGGTAATATCTCATTGTAGTTTTGATTTGCATTTCCCCAATAGCTAGTGAAATTGAGCATCTTTTCTTCTATCTGTGGCCATTTGTATGTCTTCTTGGGAGGAGTGTCTGTTCAGGTCCTCTGCCCATTCTTTAATTGGATTTTTCACTTGTCTGGCATTGAGTTGTATGAGATCTTTATGTATTTTGAATATTAACCCCTGTGAGAGCTTTTGATTGCAAATATCCTCTCCCATTGGGTTGGTTGCCTTTTTTTGTCGATGGTTTTGTTTGCTGTGCAGAAGTGTTTTGTTTAATATAATTGCATTCATTTATTTTTGCTTTTACTTTTCTTGCTTTTGGAGTGAACTTCATGAAATCTTCTCTATGACCAAGGTCCATAAGTTTAGTACTCATGTTTTCCTCTATGTAATTTATTGTTTCATGTCTTATATTTAGGCCTTTGATCCATTTTGAGTTGTGCCTCCATTTTGTTTAGTTCTTTTCTGGAGTTTTCCTCTTTCGTTTGTGACATGTTTCTTCGTCTCCCCATTTTGGCTATTTCTCTGTGTTTGCTTCTATGTATTAGGTAGATCTGCTATGTCTCCCAGACTTGTCAGTGTGGCCTTCTGTAGCAGGTGACCTGTGAGGCCCGATGGTGCAGTCTCCCTGGTTTCTTGAGCCAGGTGCTCCAGGAGGTCCCTTCTGTGAGCTGAGTATGCCCTCCAGTTGTAGTTGAGCTTTGATTGTTGTTGGCATGTCAGTGAGAGGGGTTGACCCTTTCAGCAGCAAGAAGTCGGCCTTGGCCCATGCACAGCCAGGTGACTGGCTGTGAGGATTGGCCACTACCACAGTGTATGAACTGTTGTTTAGGGGCTGATTCCATGGTGAGGAATTTGTACCAGTGGGGCTTTGGTGTCTATGGAGACCATCCTTTGGTTGTGCCACTTATGGAGCTAATCAGGTGCTGCTCTGTTGCAGTCTGAAGACAGCCACCATACATGTTTGTTCTGGGGCATCTTGGGAGGAGTTCTGGGGCAGGCGAAAGCCAGTCACCGACAGTTATCAGTACAGGGCTATCTTGTGGGAGCTACAAATCTATCCATGGCTGGTAGCTGCTTATGCCGAGGCTGAAGTCCTATAGGGGAGGCCATGATGTGAATTGAGGCTGGCTGCCACCAGTACTGTGCCTGGGGCCTCTCAGTAAAGGCAAGGGACTACCAAGGACTGTTGCTATTTTCCAGCTGCCTATAAGGCTCAGCTGCTGAGTGAGCCTTTGGCTGTGTGGGAGTTGGGTGAGGTGGGTTCTCAGGGAGTCACCGGGGTTGGGTGAGTGGTAGTCATAGATCAATGCAGATTCAGATTTGGCGTCAGTGCTGAGCCTGGGGCCATTCAGCAAAAGGCCCAGAGCACACTGAGACCAGCCACTGCCTGCCTGCAGCCTGTGGACCTCTGAGAGTTTTTAAGAAAGACTGCAGCATGGGCTAAGGCTAGCTGCCTGCCGCTGAGCAGCCTCCAGCAGTGCATGGGCCAAGGCCAGCTTCTTGCTGCTGAAAGAGCCTTTGGCGGGGCCTGCATGGAGTGGGGCAAGGTCTCAGGGATTCCTCAAGGTGGGGCGAGTGATGTTCACCAGTCCAATGCAGATTCAGAGTTGGCCATGTTGGGGAAGGGCTCAACACAGAAAAGGTGGTGCTTGCCTGCCAGCTGTGTGGGAGGAAGACTCAACACAGGAACAATGAAGCTGTCCCTCTAGCCATGGCCCTGAAGCCATACAACTCACTGTCTCCCTCTATATCTCTGGTGCCCGTTCTCACTCTGCCAGAGCCCAGGGTAAGTGCCCGTGAGTATGTGAGTCTGTGTGAAGACCCTTTAAGAGGACACCTGGCTTTCCAACAGCCTTTCGTCTCACCCAGACAGACAGAATTTCTGCTGATTCTCACAGCCAGATATGGGGGCTTTTCTACCCAGCACTGGTACTTCTGACTTGGGAGCCCAGTGTGGGGCGCCGCCTCCTCGCTTTTGGTGGGGGACCTTTGCAGCTGAGATAGCAGCTCAGTTCTCAGCTGCTACACTGACTATGCAGCCAGCTTATCTCCACCCCCCCACCTCTCTACAACTCGTCTTCCAAGGTTTCCTCTTATAGGACCTCTCTACAGCTAGTCTTCTGAGAGTTCCATGTTGGTTGTTCTATAATTTAGAAGTAATTTCGATATGGTCATGGTGAATAGAGTGTTTCCTACAGTGCCATCTTGACTGGAACTCAGTACTACACTGCTTTGCGAACTGTATGTTGGCAGTAAGTTTGAAACTAGAAAGTGTGAGTCCTCCGTATTTGTGTTTTATTTTTAGATAATTTTGGGTATTTGGGATTCTTGCAATGCCCTGTGAATTTTAAGATGATCTTTTGCATTTCTGTAAAAATAAATAAATAAAACAGTGTCGCAATATTGATATAGGTTACATTTAATCTATAGATCACTTCGGGGACTATTGCCATCTCCAATCCAGTAACACAATTTATTTATCTATGGCTTAAAAATTTTCTCAATAATATTTGTAGTTTTCCATGCACATATTTTGAACTTCCTTAGATAAAATTATTCCCAATATTTTGTTGAATAATTTTGCATCTCCCTGTAACGTATAATAAAAAAATAAAATAAAATGCATCGTAAATATCTGGTGTTTTTTCTTCATGTTTAGCACCACTGAACTGTAGCATCCTTGAAGCTCATATTTTGTTCATTCGTGTATACCCGGCACCAAAGATGCATGAAATATAAATGTTTCTGGGGACTCAAAAAATATGTTGAACAATGCAATAGAAAAAAAAATAAATGAAGTAAAGAAAAATTAAAGAAAAAAGAGATATCAGTCTACAGTTTCATTTTCTTGTGATGTCTTTACCTGACTGTTTACAGGGCAATGGTGACCTCATAGAATTACTTAGTGTTCCTTCCTCTTCTATTTTATGGAGAATTTTAGAAAGGGTTAGTGTTAATTCTTTAATAAAGGGCTGGTGGAACTCACCAATGAAGCCATTAGTAATGAGTTTTATATTTTGAGAAGTTTTTGATTACTGGTTCAATCTATTTACCTGTTATAACTCTGTTTTAATTTTCTATTTCTTATTAATTCAATTTTGGTAGCTTGTTTGTCTCTAGGAATTTCTACATTTCATTTAGGTTATTTAACTTGTTGAATAGCTGTTCATGATATTATTTTATAACTCTCTATAAATCCGTAAGATATATATGCTATTATTATGTATACCAAATATTATGTGTAATACTGTTATTATGGGAGCCAAATACCACCATTGTATGTAAAATAATATATTATTTAATCTATATGTACTATGTTATATATTTTATATAGAGCATTTATATAATATATTAAATATATATAATAGGGTATTATAGCAACCATTGCAGGTGCAATTACTAATCTAACTCTCTTATGTAACTCCCACAACTCACAGAACTGTCCCTGGAGGTGGAGGAGCGAGGACAAAGGAATGTCAGCTTGAGTGTCAATCAGGCAAAGATGCTGCTGAGCTGGGATTCAGTACAGGAATCTGGTGACTCAGGTAATGGCTGAGACGGGGAGGAGGTCACTGAGGCTTCTCAGTGGGACGAGATGCCCAAGGATGGGGCAAATGGAAAATTAAACTATAAAGGGAAGTGAGGGGTACGGTGGGTCCACAAGGAAAGAGTCTACCTGAGGAAGAAGGGGTCCTGTTGGGCACCCCAGGATGTCATCCTTAACCTTGTCCTGCAGGCCCTTCTGTGGTGGGCCTCATCTCTACTCCAGGGATGGGCAGCTTGCTGGCTGGGGCCCCCCTCGTCCTGGAGACTGAGGGGCAGGCAGTTCCGCATGAGACCCACAGGGGCTTGCTGCAGGGGGTCTCCCCCGTCCTGCTCTCAGATGTCATCTCCGTCTTTGTGAGCAACAAGCACACCCAGAACCTCAGCTCCCCAGTCAGCTTTGTCTTCCAGCACGTGAGTCCTGCGGGTGGGGCTGTGGGGGTGGAAGGGGCCTGAGTCTTGTGCACAGTCTTGGGTTCAGGGGCCTCCCCCGTGGGTGCATCATCTCCTCAAGAAAGCCCTTCACAAGTGAGATCTGGGTCCGCATTTCTGGGCACCAGAACCACCAGTTCTCATCTGTGCCCTGTTCCCACAGTCGGAGACCCCTGGGCCAAGGCAGCAGGTGCTCTGTGTGTTCTGGGAGCATGGCCAGAATGGGAGTGGCCACTGGGCCACCAAAGGCTGCAGGATGGTGGGCAGCAGCGGCACCAGCACCACCTGCCAATGCACCCACCTCAGCAGCTTTGCCGTCCTCATGGCCCCGTACGATGCGCAGGTGAGAGACCTAAGAGAGGCTGAATTCAATGTCTATCGCTGCAAATTCCCATAGATGTCACACCTTTAAAAACATACACACAAATTTGTCATCCTGCAGAATCTTCAGGTTAGCGATCTAACACAGTGTACCTGGGTTGTCTGCTCAGGGTCTCACAAGGCTGAAACAACTGTGTCAGCCAGGCCTGTGATCTCATTTGAGTCAAGAAGTCCTCCTCTAAGCTCCCTGGTTGCTGGCAGAATTCAGTGCCTTGTAGCCATAGGACGGATTTCTCATGTTCTTACTAGATGGAAGTAGGGGGCCACCCGCAGCTCTGGGGGACTACCCGCATTCTTCTCGTGTGGCTCTCCCCTAGACCCTCCCACAGCGTGTCAGTGCTGCTGCCTGGAGGCCAGCAGGAGGAGCTCCCTCACAGGAAAACTCAAACTTTGAAGCATTTTTTCCAAGAGTCTAGGTCAGCTAAGGACTCATCTGATTAGGTCTGATCCACCCAAGATAAACTCTCTTCAAGTTAGTTGATTGTGGACCTGAATTCCGCCTGCAGGCTGCCTTCACAGAAGCACCCAGACAGCTTTTGACTGACAACCTGGGAGCAGTTATGCATACACACGTGGGTGGGGTATGGTTGCGACACTAAGATTCTGCCTACCAAAAGGATCTTCGGGACAGGGGCAATCAGGGGCAGCAGAAAGGGAGATCTGGTGATGGCAGAGGTCAGAGGGAGCTGGGGAATCCAGTGAGTACAGGTGAGCTAGTGGCTGTGTTAGCCCCCTCTCCTGTCCAGTTGAGCTGGTTACTTCTCTGGTTCAACAAAACCAGAAACTTGCTCAAGAGGCTTCAGGTAAAGGGGCATTTACTGAAATAAATGTGGAACCTACATAAAAATAATCATGAAAAAGATAAAAACACATGGCCACATCTCACAGAAGCTTCCAGAAGTGTGAACAATACTACAAGACCGTGTTTCCTCCAGCCACAGCACTAGATAACATAATATTCATACTCTATTTACATACTATTTTACATTTATTGAACACTTAAAATGTTTGCGTTTCCATTTCCAACAGAAGGAGAGAGGAACATTGAAGATTCTTTATCTCACCCTCCTAATTCCAACACATAGTTATTCTTGCCTCAACCAACCAAAGTTGTTAGTTTCTCCTGCACTTTTCTTTAGATATGTTATTCACACAGGGTAGGTCAAAAGTAGGCTTACAGATTTTTGTGTGGCAAATAATACAAATAATTAATGTAATAATACAAATAAATGATGTATTTCATATACTCACAACTCTAAACCTATTTTGCCCCACCCTGTATAAAAGTAACGCATCTCTTTGTTCTTTGGTGTTCCTCTTTTCAAAGACTTGGTGTTTTTTTTTTTTTTTTTACTGTGTGCAAATTTTGTTTCATTTATTATATCTAAGAGAACTTTCTATTCTAGCCTACAAAGATATACGTTATTACCTTTATTGCCACATAGCATATCCTTCTGTGAATGCACCGTAAATTACATATGAGGGCCTCTCATACTGGGGTTTTCCTTTGATTGTTTGCTACTGAATAATGTTGCAATTGTTTACACAGAATTCATTCTTCTCACATGATAACGGAGAGCTTAGTCATGCCCAGAAGTCTAAAGGATAATAAACTCTGAGAATTCCGGGGCTTGAGGGAAGACTCTCCTATATCTCAATTTTACCAGGGTCTGAGTAGATCAGTTCAGAACACCAAAAAATTCTAACGGTATCCATAAATATGACAAATTTACTTGGTCTCACCTCCATTCCTAACTTGGTTGTACCCTTTTACTCCTCAAAAAAAGCCCCTAAAAGTGGTGGAAAGCCCATTACCCCAGAGCAGGAGAATGTGACCGATGCCTCCTCTTTGCTGGTCCCAGGAGGAGGATGCCGCCCTGGCTGTGATCACCCAGGTGGGGCTGAGCCTCTCCCTGCTGTGCCTCCTCCTGGCGGCCCTCACCTTCCTGCTGTGCAAAGCCATCCAGAACACCAGCACCTCCCTCCACCTGCAGCTCTGCATCTGCCTCTTCCTGGCGCACCTGCTCTTCCTCACGGCCATCGACAGAACCGAACACAAGGTACTGACGCCGTCCCAGGGGACCCTGTGACCTGTCCAGGAAAGGCTGAGTTCTGGGGCCATGCTGCCTTGGACCCCCTAATAAAATGTCCTTGGGTTCTGGGAAGGTTATAGGGTTGAGTGGCCAATTTCACATTGACTGATCCAACGAGAGGACTCACCCTCTTTTGACAATCCCTTCATAGACAATAGAGGTCTCCCCAATGGCAAGGTATGGGAGAGGTCCTGGGGCCATGCTGACCCCTAAGTATCCCACCTGGTGACTTTAACTTCTCCCCCAGGTGCTGTGTGCCATCATCGCGGGTGCCTTGCACTACCTCTACCTGGCCGCCTTCACCTGGATGCTGCTGGAGGGCCTGCACCTCTTCCTCACCGCACGCAACCTGACGGCGGTCAACTACTCCAGCGTGAGCAGGTTCATGAAGAAGTTCATGTTCCCTGTGGGCTACGGAGTCCCGGCTGTGATTGTGGTCATTTCCGCAGCTTCCAGGCCTCACCTTTATGGAACAGCTGCCCGGTAAATTAAAGTTCCCACCTGTCTTATCTTCTCCACATGACCATGGCCAGCAGAGAACTCATGCAGCACTTTACTTTCAGTAGAATTATGACAAACAGAGAAATGCAAAGCAATCACCCAAAGACATCTTCCTGGTTTCATGATGGCATTCCTTGAAAGGAATGTATTTAAGAACTTCAAATTTCATTATTTTAAACATTAATTATAGAGTATGTTAATTATATATATATACATAATGTTGATTATGTTATATTAAAAACTAACACTATCATAATGAAACATTAATAACATAAATTAATATATAGTTAAAATAAATGAGATGACTTTTCATCTTTTAAAAGTATTATCTATCACATTAATGACTATAGTACGTTAACGAACATGATACATAGTATTAACCCCATCTTACATATCAGTAAATGTATAGTAATATAATATTCATTGCATTAAATGAGGGGACTGTTTGAAATCTCCTAGAAAGCAAACTGGAAATGAAGGGATGGCATTGGTTGGTGTAAGTTCCTTCACTCCTTAATTGAAAAAGAAAAGGAGGATGATTTAGAAAATGACATTGTGCTGACCAGAGCTAAGATTCAGAAATTGTTTCTGACACGGAGTCATTGTTCTAAATAGTTTTCGTGTACCAGCTCAAGCCATCCTCCCAACAACACGCTGAGGCAGAAACCAGTGTTATATGAGTTTTACAGGAGAGGAAACTGGGGCACAGAGATTACTGACATGGCCCAAAGCACACACCTGGGTGGTGGCAGAGCTGGGACCGAATCCAGACAGGGTGTCACTTACATACTCCTCTGCTGATTAAAATCAACGTTCGCTGACAACAGAGGAGCCCTGGCCAGCTGGCCTTCCTATATAACTTGCATCAGAGGCAGCAAACTTTATCTGGAAAGGACCACAAAGTGAATATTGCAGCTTTGTGGACCATGTGTTCTCTGTCGCAACTACTCAGCTCTGTCCTTGTAGCACACGAGGTGCCGTAGACAATATGTAAGGGATGAGTGTGACTCACATGTACACATTCACGAAATCAGGTGGTGACCCCATGTGGCCCACAAGGTGCAGTTTACTGACACTGCCTTAGTAGTGTTCGCTTGGAGTCCTCGGGTGGATCCACCTCACTCCTTTCCTCACACCTCCCAACTCACTCACAAGGTTCTCAGGTGGGATCATTTCCAGTTCTATCATTTTTATCAGTGTGGCCTTGAGTTACTATGTTTTCTTAGCATCAGATGCCCCTCCGTGATCACTTGAGTCTCAATGTTGTCATGAGGAATAAATTACATAGTGCACACGAGCCTGAATTACTACTATCAGTTTATCGTTATATAGACACGTTTTTACTATCTTCTTGCGTGTCCCAAGTTTTCTCACCTTCTCTACATCTGTTCATCCTTCATAGCTCAGCGTAAACAGTATCAGTTCTCTCAGGGACCCTTCCCAACCATGTGAACCCCCTGTACCCCAGGCTAGGCTATTGATCCAGCTACGGGTTCTCACAGCTCCTCACGCTTGACCCCAAAACTCATCATCTTGATTGTTTCCATTGTCTAACTGCTGACCATCCCACACAGCTGGGGCCTCCCTGAGGCCTGAGACCAGTCTGTCTTAATTGCAATTGGATTTTCAGGTCAAGCACAGATCCTGATACAGAGGAGACACAATATTTGTCCAATAAATTATAAATTAATTCACTGATTGGGTCTTGTCTTTTCATTAAAAAACATATATTTTTTTCTACCAGCATATCTGTAGTCCAAGACTTAAAAGACTTTTTTTTAAAGTTTTTTAAAAAAACACAGTTATCTTTTCTTAAAACCACATTATCCTGGCATGATTGATTTGTAAAACGCTGTACAGAGTTGATGCATGGAACCTGATGAGTCTGAAGATAAGTATACAGCCAGGACCATCATCATCATCAAGGGCACACCCAAATTTCAGTTATGAAAGATAAATAAGAAGGAGATCTATAGAACATGGTGCCATAATTAACAATACTGTACTGTATGCTTACAATTTGCTAAGAGGGTAGGTCTTAGCATAAATGCTCTTACCAAAAAAAGCAATATTAGTGTTAATAATAGAGGAGGCAGAAGAAACTGTGGGAGGTGAAGGATAAATTTATTGACTGTTTATCCACAAAGGCAAATAGGTTCTACAATCCCTTTCCATGTCTCTCCTAGATGCTGGCTCCACACAGAAGAGAAATTTATATGGACCTTCCTTGGCCCCGTCTGCACCATCATCTCTGTGAGTAAAGGATGACCTCAGAGCATCCTTCCTGCTCAGCTGAGGGTCAAAGAGCAGGTGTGGAAGGAGTTTAGAGGCAGAATGAGCAATCATTCCAGTGTTCCCAGGACTGACGGGGCTTATAGGAGTCAAAAAGTTCTGTTTTATAACCAGGATGAAGGGGTTTCATGAGACATGGGACTTTTGGTGCTAAAATGTGGAAATTCCTGTGTAAACTGGGACAAGTTGGTCATCCCAGTTACTGGACAAGAGGGGCCATGAGGCAGTGAATGGCTGGTCACTTTTTCTATGGCTGGTATGAAATATGAAAGGTTCTTACCAGGCAGATGGAGGAAGCCATACAGATGTGGAATGCGTTCAATGTGCCTCGTGGTGTTTCTGCAGGTTAACTTGGCTTTCTTCCTGATGACCATCTGGATTCTGAAAAACAAGCTCTCCTCACTCAACAAGGATGTGTCCACCCTCCAGAACACGAGGTGAGATGGGTCAGAGGGGCGCACCGCCCCACACGAAGCAGGGTCCAGGTGCTAAGCCCTATGGTTCCAAGCTCCTGGTGTCCTTTCACAGGGATTCTGGGGGGATAGGCAGAGAGAGGTGCAGCCCCCCTCCATGGAAACCTGCTCAGATCCTGCAGTTTGCTATGAAACGCAAGCCAAAAACATTTTGTTCCTCTATAAATCCTGCATGAAATTACCTAACCTATAGAGAGATTGACTTTGTTCTGTTAAATGTGGAACACTTCCATGGCCCTATGAGAATATCCTAAGAATGTTTATATCTTTATACACCTCTTAGGAAATCACCTACCTGTGCACTTTCATGCCCACGCCTTCATGGAGAATTTTCCCTATGTCCTGTCTACTCCTACAACTGCTAAAATCAGACTCTTTATCCACATATCACATCTTTTGAAAGGCTAAAGGTGTATTTTGCTTTCCTCAACTTTTGCAACCTCTACTGTGGGCAAAGGATACTTGGAGAGAGAGAGAAGACAAAAGCAGTACTGGATGGGACCCGGGCAGAGGTACCTCACACCTCACAAATATTATAAGTTACCATTTGTTTTAGTCTTTCCATGAGACTCTAAGGTCTGTGACAACAGAAATTGTGTTTGTTACTTTTAAACCAGGACCCAGCACAGAGTCAGGCACGTAAAACCTCCTTAGTGATATCAGCTGAATGAAATTAGGGACATTCACGGGACAACATGATCTTTTTGAAACCCACAAAATGAATTATTACTACTTCAGTCCAAGTCAAAATGCCATCTCAGTTCCTGATAGCATTTTTTTAAAGAGAATCATTGAGAGTAAAAATCAAAGCGGGTCACAAGTCAGTCACATGCATCCATGGGATGGGATGAGTGGCCTTGATTCTGTTGCTCTGGGTGCACCACGGGCCTCCCTTCTCCTCCTCCCCAGGATGCTGACGTTTAAAGCAATGGCCCAGCTCTTCATCCTGGGCTGCACGTGGTGTCTGGGAGTCCTGCAGGTGGGCCCAGCTGCCCGCGCCATGGCCTATCTCTTCACCATCATCAACAGCCTGCAGGGCGTCTTCATCTTCCTGGTGTACTGCCTCCTCAGCCAGCAGGTACCACAGTCCGACCCCCACCCACACCCTTTCCATTCTCACTGCTCTCAGTGAGCTGACTCAGGGCGTGCTTTGCCTCTGCAGGTCCGGGAGCAATACAGGACATGGTTGAGAGGGGTCAGGAAAGCCAGAGTGGACTCTGAGAAGTACACCCACTCCAGCATGGCCATGTCTGAAGCTTCCAAAGACAATGTGGTAAGGTCCCACATTGCTCCCAGAGCCCTTCACTAAGTGATCACTTGAGTAGCTCATGCCCATCCCACTGGACAGCCTGGGTGCACAGCAGGGGATGCCCTAGCATGGCTCCCACTGCCTTCACTTGTGGACTCACCCCAAGGCATTTCCTTGTCATGAATAGAGGTCTGCCTGTACTTTCTCTTACTGTGTTACAATGCCACCTTAACCTTGCCGATGATTACCTCCTCATTCCCCTCGTGTGTAGAACACCTACTTTGTGTGACTTGATGCATGTGGTTTTTAATCTTCCTGAGCAAAAGACACAAAGCCCTTCCTCTAAAGCAGAGAGAGGCTACAGTCAGCTCAACAAGTGGGAACTAGGGATGTGAAGCTGTGATGCTCAAAGTGCACAGTCACAGCGTTGCCCTTGGTTCCAAGTCATTCCGTGCCCCTCTCTATATAAAGAACAACAAACGCACGGTGTGTGTGGTCATTAAACTCAGTGAAATAAATGTTAGGTTGGGTTTCAGACTTTCTGTAAGAGTCTGCAATCATTTCTCATATTCTCAACACACATAAATAATGCAAAGGCAGGACAGAGAATCACAGAGGGCTGAGGAGGGACCCTGGGAATGGCAATGAACATTTGTACATTCTGGTTAACAGAACCTTGTTCACATGGTCTCCACATCTGCACTTGGAGATAAGTATTATTATGTTCCCATTTGGTAGGAGAATAAAGTGGAATTCACAAGGTCTGTAAGAAGTGAGCGAGGTCTTCAGACAATTCATTTTTTTTCTCCCAGCTTTCACAGGCCCACCACGCTGCCTGTCATTTTTCTCATCCACTTGTTTGTCCAACACTCTACCACTGCTCCTTCCAAAATTCTTCACTCCTCAAAAATCCTCATTCCTCTAACTTCCCTTCCCAGCAAAAGTTTCTACCAGCCACTTTCACAGCAAATCAAGTGAGCAGGGTAAAGCAAAGTCAACTTTGGGCTATCCAAGCACCAGGCACTTGACACCTGGTTCATTCTCTCTGCACGCAATCCCATTGCCACACACAAGATGTGCTTCCAAATATTAAGGTTGATCTTTCTATTGCATTTTGGTTCCCAACACTCTTGACTTTCCCTTAACTTTACTTGACTGTGCATACATTCTCTCTCTGAACTTTGCACAGTCTCATCTTCTCAACAGTATCCTTTCTACCTTTTATGCAACATGGGAAATCTCTATCTTATTGAAAATTATTAAAGTTATACATTTGATCTCTCCCTCTCCTTCCCACACACTCAAAACTGGCATTTGCCTCCACCATTCCCCAAAACATCTTTCCCTTAAGGCTCCAATGACCTTCATTTCACTGGATACAATATTTTTTGTCCTCTCATTACTGGAGAAACCCTGGTTTTTCTCACCAATGCAATAAAGAATTACAGGTCAGCGAGCCTGTTAGCATGCACATTTATTAGTGCTAAGTGCTAGCTGAAAAGCAAAAGCAAGGGTGACAAAGCAAGGGTGGCAAAAGCAGGGTGACCAGAGATTAGGTGACCAGCACTCAGGTGGCCAGAAGCCTGATGGCCAGGGGCCAGGTGGTCAAAAAGGGTCTAGTCCTTTGTTTTGAAGATGTATATACTTGGTGGGTTGGGGTTGAGAGAGTTACATTTTGATTAGCAGGTGACGTGGTGCCAGTTTTCCATGGGGACATGACTGCCCAAACGTAGGTGTGGATGGGAGTCTGTTAGCCCAAATCCTTATCTTGCTCCAGACTCTATTTGTTCATTTTGTGTGTGTCACAGGAGGCAGACAGTTAACCAAAGTTGCTTTAGGAGCTTTTCTTTGGGTGCTGTAGACCCCTCCCCTTTCCCCTTCCCCCTTCTAGGCTTTGGGATGAATACACAGTCGCACGGTTTTCGTTTTCCCAGCTGGCAGAGATGACGCACGCAGACTTCCAAGGGCTCCCCTCTGCACTATCACAGTTTCCTTGTGTTGTTCAGAATGCCAGGCAGCCTTATTGGACCAGGCTCAGGATTACTGGGCCAGTGGGTGAGGCATGTCTCCCTTACTTTTAGCCTCCTGTGTTAAGTTCTTTGTTAGATTCCAATGGGGAAGGCTCTGCCTTTATTTCCCCTCTGGCTGCTCATTCCACCATAACACTCAGTACTATTGGGTGTTGTGGTTACTGCCTCCACCATGAAACTTCTCTTTTGTTCCTGACTCCTATATCTCAACATCCCTGGCATTCTCCCTATCTTTCTGGATGAGCTTTCTTCATCTTCTTTAGATTTCATTTATTCTACCTAACTTTGTTTTAGTAGCACTTCCAGTATCATCTTATACCTTCCATATAGACAATCTTATTTACAAGGCAAGAGACTCAAAGAGCCACGCAGAAGGAAATTATAGCCAAATGGACTTCTGTAGCTCTGAATTGTATATGATCACCAGACAGCTATTTCCAATTGCCTGCTTGACACCTCTACTTAGATATCTCAGAAGCAGCCCAACGTGGCAATAAAAGAATTTATCATTTTTTTTTAACCAAGTTACACCTCTGTGGGGTTTCTCATTTCATTGCACCAGTCAGGGCCTGGAAAATCCTTACCGTAGTCCTCTTCCCTACCCTGTTCTGCACCAAATCGATTCATTGCTAACTCATGCTAGTACTTCCTCCTCGGCAGGCACAGATCTGCCTCGGTGACCCCGACTCCGACACCTCGTCCCTAAACCCGGCCGTCATCTTCCCTTGGCTGGTCTCCCCATCGACTCTTCCGCTTCCTCCCGTGGTTGTTCACATAAAAAGAGTTATCTTCTCAAAACATAAATGTGATATTCTACCACACTGCATAAAAATCCCTAAAATGGTTCCCCAATTCCACTAAAAACAAGATAAAATATGTAAGCTCCAATTTCCTCCCCATTCTCATCAAAACTTGTGGTTTAGTTGCGGCTTTTTTAAAAAATCCTCACCCGAGGACATGCTTATTGATTTTAATAAGCCCATAAGATTTATACATATTTTCTTTCAAAACATTTATAATTTTCGTTATTACATTTAGGTGTATGCTTTATTTGGAAGTCATTTTTTTTAATTGTTTGAGGTTTTAATATGGTGTGAGGTGCAAAGTATTTTACATTTGGATATCCAGGTGTCCCATCATCATTTATTGAAAATTGGTTCCTTCCATCAATGAATTGTACTGACATCTTTGTGAAAATTAATTCACCATAAGTATAAGGTTTTATTTTTGGACACTTAACTCTCTTCTATTGTATCTTGATTACTATGCTTTTTAGCAAGTTTGATTTTGGAGCATTGACTCTACAAATTTGTTCTTCTTTTTCAAGATTCTTTCCGCTATTCTGGACCCTTTGAAGTCCCTTGTAAATGTGAAGATGTGCTTGTGAATTTCTAAGGAAAATTTAACTGAGATATTTATAAGAACTGTGTTGACTCTGTAGATCAATGTGGAGGTACTGACATCATAAATATATTAAGTCCTCTGATCCATGAACAAGCAATATTTTCTATTTCTTTAGTTTCTTTGATGTCTTTTGACAATGTTTTCTGGTTTTCACTGTACAAGTCTTGCACTTTTTAACACAGTATCATTTTTACCCCTTCCTTCTCAGGAGAATTAAATTAACAACTAAACCAGATGATCCTGTCTCCTGGAAAATGAGGAAAACATGGAACTGTCATCCTTTGGGCAAGGAGTATAGAAAATACTTTTTTTTGTGTCTGCTACAAGTAACTGATCCTGGCACCATTGTGGGAGAGAGTGTGCAGGAAATGTTTGACATTCAGTTTCTAGAGAATTGGGGTTTCCTGGTCCACACAGCACGCTCAGCTCACTCCTAGAACAGTCAAGGAACTATGACCCAGCTCCTCAGTTGTCCGAGGTTAAGCCCTGCACTTCAGCCTGTTATTCTACAAAAATGTCCCTCAGGTATAACAAAGACAACCATCCTCAAATGTCTTTCTTATAAGAGCATAAAAAAGGAAAGTAATGTTCAGTGTTCAGTCAGATACCTGTATTTGGTCTCCCTACCTACTTGCCTTGATCTCCTCACTTTTCTTGTCTAAAGACTTACTTATTTTTCAGTCAAAAAATAGTTTTCTTGCTCACCATGTGCTACACACAGATCCTAGTTCCTGATTTCACAGAGCTTATTGTAGAAAAAAATTGTTAGAGTAAAATCAATAGAGCCTCTACATCTTTACATTTTATAAACTGAGCTGTGGAAAAAGTATATATTGCTATGGCACATCGTGCAAGTTGTATTTCTACATATTATCTCATGCTAAGCATGTGATGCAGGCAACATCTAATTCCAGAGCAATTGCATCTGAAAGACATTTCCTGTAGGTTTCCACAGACCGCATTTGTGTAATTTGAACACCATAGGAAGTGGCTGTAAATGCTTATAACATTGAAAATATTCATGAGTCCACAGTGATACCTAAAAATATCAGCCAATAATTGTAAAAGATAGGATAGAACTAGAAAATAGGGATTTTTCCAATACTGAGTAAACAGCACTAAAACACGCTGTGAAAAGCTAGTCCTGCAGTGCCAGAAACTCACCTCACAGATCACTGATTAATCACAAGAGCGAAAGTGCGCATGTACAGCAGGGAGATCTGAACTTAATGATCTTATTAGCTTGTCAATAGTTGGAGACCTGACTTGATATATTTCCTGATAAGACGTGAAGTGTCAACATCCCACGTGTGGTAAATAAAGAATTATTTGCAAATCAGTCCAACCTAAATCTAACCCAGCCTTTAGACCAAGGGTTGGAAAACTATAACATGAAGGCTAAGTCCTGGCATCTGCCTGCTTTTGTAAATAAAGTTTTATTGGAACACATCAGAGTCAAAGTCACTCACGGCTGCATTGTCTAGGGCTCCTTTCCTACTACACTGTCAGAGCTGAATAGTTGTGAAGGACACTGGAAGGCCACAATGCCAAAAAATATTTACTAAGAAGCACATTACAGAAAAAGCTTGCTGGGGTCTGTTCTTTCAGACCTAAGTATCAGTACACATGGAATACAGGGAACAGAATGACAAGTTAAATGACATCATGAGGAAGCAATCCAGCAAATTAAGAATATAAGGCATTCAACAAGCCAGGTGATCTGGACTCTTCTAAAATCAATACTTTAAAAAATTGTTACTATCACCTTAAAAAGCTAATAGAGGCTATTCTAGAAAACACAAAAGTAACATAACAATCAACTTACATGTCAATTTTATTGGGATTCTGATTTAGAGACACAACCATAAAAATATTTGGAGGCTACTGGGAACATTTCTATATGTGTCAGATATTAAAATTATTATTAATAAATGTCTAATCACTATATAGTACATTTGAAATTAATATTGTATGTCAACTATAATTTAAACATAAATTACAAAAAAGTTACTACAATTGCTGATTTTCTTTCATCCTACCCTTTTTTCTCCTTTTTTTCCTTTTCACATCAAATTTTCATTTTTCCCTATCTTAGCCTGGTTTTTTCATTCCTCACTCTTAGTATTCCCTCTCCCTCTATCATTTCAAAATCACTGTCCTTTCCTCTAGACATCTCTTAAGCTTTTCTCTCTCTGATTTTTTCCATTTTATTCCCATTGCACCTGTTTTAATTTTAGTTTATTTGTTGTTGATAGTGCTGTAGTGGATCCTTCTCTCCAGTTTTGTTCTGATATTTTTTATTATTTATTTTCTTTTTCTTTCCTTTTTCCTTCTCTCCTTCCCTTTATTTTATTTTAATATCTGTTTAAACCTAATATTATATGCTTCCCTTCTCTTACTTCATTCTGCCTTCTTCATTCCCTTTTTTATTTATGATGTAAATTTTACTTTCTCTTTTTGCATTGCTCCGATTCCCAATTCTCATTAGTGCTCTTCCCTCTACCCTCTCAAAATCATTTTTCTCTCAGTAGGTCATCTCATATTTGCTCTCCTTTCTTATAATAGTCTTAATCTCTTTTTACCCTTATTAGTACCAGTCTATTTGTTGTCGATAGTTGCATTGTGGGTGGAAGTTATATTTGTGGGTGTGGATTTGTTTCCTGGACTTTTTGGCTTTGTTCTGGCAGCACCTGCACAACAGCATACAAGACGTATTTGGTGGGGTGACCCTCAGTCAAGCAGCTGGAGGGAAGGACCCATTAAAGAATGACCCAACAACAATAAAAACCCAATTACATCCAGAGAGCCAACATAAACAGCATAAAGGGCATACCAAGAGGATCAAGTTCAGGAGATCAAGGAGACTGCACCACTGAATCACACAGGTCTCCTATCATAAAAGTTCACACCACAAAGACAGGGAGTCAAAACAGATCAATTTAAGAAGCAGAAACAAACAAGAAGAGTCTCCCCAAAAATGGGAAGACAAAGAAACAACCCTCATCGAAAGGAAAGGAAGAATCCTCAGAAAGAGTGCCATTCCCTCCTGGCTTGCAGTGTTTCTGTTGAGAAGTCAGCTGCTGGCCACATCAGAGTGCCCTTGTATGTTACTTCCTGTTTCCCCCTTGATGCCTTTAAGAACCTCTCTTTGTCTTTGAATTTTGCCATTTTAATTATGATGTGACTTGGAGTGGGCCTCAGAAATAAAACAGAGGCAAGTAAGCTATCAGATACTGAGTTCAAAACAATGGTTATAAGGAAGTTCAATGAGCTCAGTGAGAATTACAAAGAACTCCAGGGAAGCGGTAAGGAACTTACTGCAAACTACACCAGCATGAAAAAGGACATGGAAACTATCATTAGAGCCAGGAGGAAATGAAGAACACAATTTCTGAATTGAAAAACACAGTAGAAGGAATCAAAAGCAGGCTAGATGAAACAGGGGATCGAATCAGCAAGTTGGGGGACAAAGTAGGAAAAAAAAACCCCAGAAAGAGCAAGAAAAGGAAAAAAGACTAAAAAAAGAATGAAGAACAGTTAAGGGAACTGCAGGACAACATAAAATGTAATAATATTCACATAACAGGGATACCAAAAGGAGAAGAGGAGCAAAGGATAGAAAACCTGTTTGAAAAGTAATGATGGAAAACTTCCTTAACTTGATGAAAAAGTCACACAAGTTCAGGAAGCACAGAGGGTCCCAATCAAGATGAACCAAAGAGGCCCACTCCAAGACACATCATAATTAAAATGGCAAAATTCAAAGACAAAGAGAGGTTCTTAAAGGCATCAAGGGGAAAACAGGAAGTAACATCCTAGGGAGCTCTGATGTGGCCAGCAGCTGACTTCTCAACAGAAACACTGCAAGCCAGGAGGGAATGGCAAGAAACATTCCAACAATGAAATGCAAAGGCCTACAACCAAGACTGCTCTGCCCAGCAAAGCTCTCAATTAATATACTTCCACCAAACCAACATTGCAAGATATGCTAAAGGTACTGTTTTAAGAAGGTGAAGAAAAAAGAGTGAGAGAGAGAAGAATATAGGTGCAAAGGGAAAAAATTAGTACGTACAAATGTAGGCTATGCAAAGTGAAATAAAGGAAAATATACAGGGAATCAACAGTGAAAGGAAGGAAACTGGGACTCAAATCAATGATTTAGAACAAAAAGAAGAAATAAACATCCAGCCAGAACAGAATGAAGAAACAAGAATTCAAAAAAATGAGGAGGAAAAGCTTAGGAGCCTCTGGGACAACTTTAAATGTTCCAACATCCAAATCATAGGAATGCCAGAAGGAGAAGAGGACGAGCAAGGAATCAAAAACTTATTTGAACAAATAATGAAGGAAAGCTTCCGCAATCTGACAAAAGAAAATAGATTTCCAGGAGGTCCAGGAAGCCCAAAGAGTTCCAAAGGAATTGGACCCAAGGAGGAACACACCAAGACACATCATTATTAAACTACCCACTATTAAAGATAAGAAGAGAATCTTAAAAGCATAAAGAGGAAAGGAGAGAGTTACCTACAAAGGAGTTTCCATAAGGCTATCAGCTGATTTCTCAAAAGAAACCTTACAGGCAAAAAGGGGCTGGAAAGAAGTATTTGAAGCCATGAAATGCAAGGACCTATATCAAGGATGACTCTATCTAGCAAAGCTATCACTTAGAGTGGAAGGGCAGATAAAGTGCTTCCCAGATAAGGTAAAGTTAAAGGAGTTCATCATCACCAAGACCTTATTATATGAAATGTTAAAGGGACTTATCTAAGAAATAGAAGAAGACCAAAAACTATGAACAATAAAATGACAACAAGCTTATAACTATCAACACCTGAACCTAAAAAACAAAAACCAAGCAAACAACTAAAACAGGAACAGAATCACAGGAATAGAGATCACATGGAGGGTCATCAGTGGGGAAGGGGAAGGAAAGAATGGGGGAGAGGTACAGGGAATAAAAAACAATCTTTGGTAGGCATAAAATAGACAAGGAGAAGTTAAGAATAGTATAGGAAATAGAGAAGCCAAAGAACTTATATGTATGACCCATGGACATGAACTAAGGTGGTGTGGGAGGGCAATGCTGGAAGGTGGAGGGTGCGGACAGAGTTGGGATAAAGTGAAGGAAAAAATTAGGACAACTGTAATAGCACAGTCAATAAAATATATTTTAAAAAAAGAAATATTTCAAATAAACAACCTTACCCTACATCTACAATAACTGGAGGAACAACAAACAAAGCCCAGAGCCAGTAGAAGGAAGGAAATGACCAAGATTAGAGCAGAATTAAATGACATAGAGACTAAAAGAA